GGGGGTGCCCCCCTGTGCCCCCTCTCAAATGTGTTCGAGCTCATGGAGCGCCGGTTTGGCGGCAGCGGCCATGAGGTCTACCTGCTTCCTTTCCCCTTGAATAACAGGTAGACTTTGAGGGTTTCTTTCAATCTCACCTCCACCCTCGAGCGAAAAATCTCAGTGTTTTCGAACCCTTCCACGTCCCCCTGGCCTGGGCGCCTTCCGGGGCCCAGGCTCAAGGATCGGGTGCTTGACATAAAAAGACTGGTAGTACCGCAATCGCGAATTAGGGACACTGATTTCGGACATCTGGGCTAAACCCTTGTTGATGTATATACGGGCAGTTTTTGCGGCTGCCCACCGCCCAAGGACAAGCAATTTGTCGAAACTACCATGGTGTTGAAAGAAGAACGTTGCCCCCCCTCTCCGAAGAGAGTAGGGCCTGTAACCAAAAGATAAAAGATCCAGTCCTTCCATGGCCTGATTGAACAGGCGTCGCCAAGCATGCGGCTTGACGGTGAGGTATGCATGGGCTTGTGACTGTTGTTTCCAGTGGTAGAGAGACGGTAAAACGGAAGTATCATGTAGAGTAACAGACTCGGCAGCTCCTTGTCGGGCCCCTGACTTCGTCAGGCCCAAGGAGAGGACCGCGGGCCCTCTAGGGCTGGTGATGTAAATGTCTTTGGCCTGGAGTTTTAAAAGCTCACCCGTGCGAAGCAACCCAAAGAAGGCTACTCTCAGAGAAAGGCCAAATTCAGGACACCCCTTCATGACGCTCCATCCGCACAAAGCATCTAACAACGCCAGAGTCATGGGCGCCGCTCGGTTGGGGATCTCCGCTGTCAACCAAGCTTTCATGAGTCTCCAACTTCCTGGGAGCTTCCGACGCAAATTCGGGTCACGGTCCTGAAGGGCTGCGAGGGTGTTGTTGGCAACTGACTTTCCTTCTCCGGTAGCCCACAAGTGCTCCAGGTAATCGGACACAAGGAGGTCCATGTCAGTGACGCGCTTTGGGAGAGTCAATCCCTCCCCTGTCAACCAGTCAAAGAACTGCTGAAGACAAAGTTCATAACGTTGTTTGGTCCGAGGCTGAACAGTTAAATCCTTGAGCTTCCCTAAGTTCTTGCGAACTGCTTTGCGCTGTTGCTTGCTGCGACCCTCAACTATTTTCTTCTTGCTTTTAGCCATCCCTTACGCACAGGCCGGCGGGATGGTTTATCCGCCGGGTTTTGCTTTGTGTCAATGTATCCCCATGCGCCATGAAGGCCGCTTGCAAGCATCAACGCACTAATCTTAGCCAACGTCCTCCGAAGTTTCCTGCTGCTGGAACGGCCCCTGGACAGGGCATGGAGTACCACCAACGAGTCCACCAAATGAAGGAAATTAGCATCACTTTCTTGAAGCTCCTTGATGCGCCAAACTAGAGCAGTTTTCACTGCCCTCAACTCCAACGCATTGATATGTTCAGCCTCTCCTTTCCAACGCCACCCAACAACGTCACGCCACCGCCACAGTTTTCCAGGGATAGATGCTCTCAAGCGGTGGTAACGCGCTGGAATATCTGTGGACATCTGAAGAAGAATGTCTTCACCTTTGACGGAAATTTGTCCCAACAACTTACGCACAAGGCCGCCTTCAGTCGCCCCGGCCTTTGTGGATTGCCTGAGCGGCGGCCTCATCAACAAACCTGGCAAATCGTCACATTTACCGGGTGCCAACGGTCTGACAATGTCATCGGCACTAAGCTCATCAACCAGGCCCAACGTCAAGAAAAGGCAATGGAGCAAACAGGCAACCACAGGAACGGACCAGCTATTGCCCAACAACCGGAGGCGACAATCCGACCACTTTTCTGTGTTGTAGTCCGCTTTCGGAAGGCACTTAGTGGTATAGCCTGTTGGAAACCCTAAAATGGCCTCTCGCTCAACGACGCTGGGAACTCGCAACCGGGACTGGGAGTTGATCACGCAGTTCTCCCTTCGATATTGATAAGGCGGGAAGCGATGTTGGTCGGCTTGCCAACGTTGCACAGCATCCGGCGGACACAGGGGCAACCCAGCCGGCTTGCGTCCGGGCGTAGGCGAAGGTCGTGCTGTCGTAAAGGTAGGAAAATGCCCGTTTTCCTCAACACGTTTCCAACCGGGTTCCAAGAAGTCTTTGGTGTCCAACACGGCCTTGAGCTGTAGTTCACCCTTCACAGGCAACCCTCGGGGCGGAACGCGCAACTCTGTCAACCCTACCATTGGCCTTGGGTCCCAATTGAACCAATACAGCCTTGGACGCCGCGCTAACGAGATTCCTGACGCATTGACCAACCATGGTTCAAGCCCGTACGCAGCATTCATCACGCCACAATCACCAGCATCCATGGATGCCACGTTCTCAATCAGGGTGAAAACCGGACACCAGGTGAACCACCTCCGAAGGATCTCCTCAACCCTGGGAACGTGCGCAAACAGACTGGAACGCGCGTCTCGAAGGGCCCCGCGTCGATCGACGTTGAGTCCTGATACGCCCTGACAAGGCGGCCCGGCTCCCAGAAGAACGGCCACAACTCCGGGGAAACGCAAGCACCACTCACGCACCTCCTCAACTCCTACCTTTGCAACATCCTCCACATGCACCACGTCTGGAAACCAGCTCTCAACAACACGTCGTGCTTCAGAGCAGATTTCAACGCTGACATAGCCGGCGACAGGCACCCGTAGGGCGTCCACTGCTACTCGAAGGGCTCCTATGCCATCGAACAAGGAAACTACCAGAATCGCACCAACCTCATCCTGGGTGATCACATCACCCCTACATGTGGCTAGACTAGCGGCGATGCCATATGGGCTCAGTTCACGAGATACGCACAAGCCACCACCAGTTGTCGACGCATCACTGGCCGTCACCTTCTCCGAGATCCCGGTCCGGAAGTCCATGTAGGCCAACGGAGTCAGCGCAACAAACCTCAACAGTTCATGCACGACTTCAAATCCGAGTTTCTCTCGACGCCGGCCTCCTCCGGCTCCTAGCTCAACAATCCGCCTCCAGATTGCATTGAGGCCTGCCAACAACGGCCTTCGGAACATCGCCATATACACGAAGCCACCCCCAATGACCTGCAATTCTCGCTGCGATGCCTTTCCCTTGATGATTGCCTAACCTCACGTACCTCAGGATCTTCTCCACCTTCGGGGTCGCATGCCCCAGAACCCCATCAACCCATGCACCTTGCACCTCTGCCTTTGCCTCCTGAGTGACTGCCTTCTTCGGGTGTCTTGGTAGCCCCAGGGTTTCATAGGTGGCACGCACGGCCAACGTCCATGCCGAGGGAGTGCCCGCAATGGTCGCGGCAAGGGCCTTGTCAACCTTTCTCAACTCATCATAGTTGTCCAGGTACACTCGAAACAGATGGGGGGCACTGCTATGGGGGCGATCCCGACGAATTTCCTGATGCCCAGAGGCTAGCCTACGGTCGCTCTTCAGTGCCTCATTGATCACCCGGCGGTGTATGTGCTGAGCAATGGCCACCGAGTTAATAAACCCCATTGGCAACACCTGAGTGACCAAATGCCACCCGGCACCAGAACAGCCTGCTGGGAGAGCCTCAGCGGGTATGAAGGAGGGGTCCGGAACAAATAGAAAAAGCACCGAATGTCTTCAGAAGATGTTACCAACAGCTGGTGATCTTCCAGAACAATAGACGACATCCCTACCACACTAGGTAGGGTAGAAGTATCTCCTGTCAGACTTCGGCAGCAACTATTTGTTGGGACTAGGTTCATGATAAGGCGACAAACTTCAAACTCCTCTCCCTCCTCGTCTATGGCGGTCTCATTCTTGCCTACTGCAAATAGCCCGTTAAGCAAGGGTTTTCCCCCAACGTGATGAATCTCGGAGACATGCATGGCCCGACACACCCCACGTCGCAACAAACCCGAGCACACCTGCGACCAGTGCTCCAGCTCCACCATGATGCTTGGCGTTTTTCCCACATATTGGTCCTCAACAGGTAGCATGAAAGACTCGAAGTTCCGGACATATTCAAGAGTGCCCCCTTCACAAAACTCTTCAAGATCGAGCGAACCTACCGCCTCCGGAAATGCGGCCTCTACCATGTGCCAACGAAACCGTCTTGCCACCTGAACCTCTTCACCAGAATAATCAACCCCTTTGCACTCAAAGAACTTCTCAAAATCCATATCAGGTAGAACCTCCTGGGCTAAGCCAGAGTTCACCACCACTTTCTCCAACCGATCAACCAACGCAATCCGTGTCTTGTCCTCACGTGTCCTCAAAACAGTCTTGGTCCCATATAATGAATTCAACGCTTGCACCAATGCATCAACACATGGGGGAGTCTTGTGTGACCGGCTCAAAGACGAAGGAAGCGGCAAGGGGAACAGATCCCCCGTGGCCTGGCTGCAACGCAAGAAACCAACCTCCTGCCCTTTCAACGCCTCTGAAACCACATCCCCCAACTCCCCAAAGATGGCTCCTTTTTTGCGACACACCTTGGCAAGGTTAAGGCGACAGTCCTCAAATGCCTGCCTCCAGCTTGCTTCAGGCATATCAGCCTTCTCCTCCCGGCTCAACATAAAAGTTGGTCGTTCAGAGGTCTGCAGCCGAGTCTGGGAGAGTTGATCTTCCGTCCCTCTCCCTTTCTCAACGTGTTCCATGCATGCAACTCGACCAATGCCGCCAGGTGGGAAACAACCCTCTGTTCGACACTGGGAGATAGAGCTCTCCCTCTTCAAGCTCTCCTCTGCAACCTGCTCCTTGTCTGGATCTTGCCCGGTCAGTCTGTCATCTTGCTTCTCCAACCAACCCGGCAAAACCTGCATGTCAGAGCTCCTCTTTTTCTCAACTTCAAGCCCTTCTCTATCCTGTCTCAACCTCAAGCCCTTCTCTGCACTATCACGCAACAACTGCTCAATGCCCTCATCCTCATCAATGCCCAATGTATCAGCCAATGTACGACCAACTAACAAACCCCTCTCATCTTTCTCAGCACCCTCAAGCTCTGGATCGATCTTTTCCCCTCTGTTGAAGCTTCTTTTCCTCTTCTTCCTGACACTACTCATTTTTCTTTTTTCCTTCCCCTTGTCTCGTTTTCCTTTCTCTCCTTTGCCTTTGTCTCCAACAGGGGGTTGTCGATCCTTACCTTTGCCACCAATGTCACCCTTTTCTCGGCCTCCTGACCCATACGGTCGTTGCGCCTGGATCCGGTTTCGGAGTTCTTCTCGAGCCAGCTTTGCCGCTTCTGCTCCTTCAGTGCCTTTGCTTAAACCTGACGCGTCAGCACTGACTAATTCCAGCTGTCTAGCAACTGTCCAATGTCCACCATGGATCTGTTGTTCTAGAGCCTTGACTCTTTGGGCCAGTAGGTCCAGAGCACGTGCTGGATGTCCACGAAGAAGCAAATCGGCTCCCTGACACAATGTAAGGAGCTCTTGGCTCATTGAAGGCGAACATAACGGCTGCATCCCCGACCGAAAATACCTGGAAAAGATCGGCGGGAGTGCTTTGCGGTCCTGTGAGTACAGCGTACCGCTCTGTGTAAGCAGGCTCTCCTTCATGTTCATGACCGTCTGTGTGGTCAAGCTGCCTGGGTATCGTTGAGTGAGTCTCAAGGCTTTCCTGCGCTCCTCAAACAATCCTTCACCATACTCCTCCATCTCCGACTCGCTGGTTTCAGATGAATCACTGTCGTCATCACTTGATGAATGCTTCCTCTTCTTCGACTCTTTGCTCCCGAAACGCTTCGCACGCTTCAAGAGCTTGCTGCGCACCTCTGCATCTGGATCCAGGCAGGTATTCCCATAGAGCGCTGACAATGACTTCTGTCCTCGCTCCAACTGCTCACTATCCTCGTCCTCTCCATCTTCTTTCTTGCCAGCGCGTCCTTTCCCTGTCTTCTTCTCCTTTCCCTTCGACTTCTTCTTTCTCTTTTTATCCTTCTTCTTCTTTTTCTCGCTGCCTTGACTGGGAGATGGTTTCTCCCCTGCACCCTCTGCCTGCCTCTCCTCATGCAATGCTCTCAACCGGGCCAGCTCGTCAACCTCTGCACTCTTCTTTGGATGCTCCTCCAACAACGAATGCCACGGAAGCTTCTGATCGCCAACGACCCAGTATCCAGCCGCGTGCAAGACGTCCTCACCTGTGGGCTGCCAGCTGCAATTGGTCTGGCAGATGTGAAGTTGCATTGTCCTCTTCGCCGGGTCCGACAACATTTCCACAAGCCTTTCGGTTTGCGTGCCAGTGACTCGAAATTCGAGAAAGTCCTCATCCCGGCCAAGGCCCATAATGAACCCTGCAACTTTCACATGCCCTTCATAATAGTGGGCGTCTCCCAGCTCTATCAAGCCAAGGGTCCTCAATTGCACTGCAGCCAACTCCTTCAGGTAGTGGAAGCGGGTCACAGGCAACTCTGGGTCCTGGGCGGCAGGTCTTCTTTGGGGGACTGGTGCTCGGCTGGCTGGCTTTCTCCTGACCTTCATCGCCATTGCCTGTCACGCAGCTCCTGCTTCGCTCGCCGCGTTATTCCTTTGTTTTTCCCCACGAACCACTTTGGATGGCTGCTGTAGGGAATGGGCCCTACCCAACCTCTCTTTGGGGCTGGTGGAGGACTGGGCGGAGGCAATGGCGGCGGCAAGGGCGGAGGCGGAGGACCTGGCGGGGTGTGGGGACTCGGCCTTGGGGGTGTCAGGGGCCTGCTTTTCCTCTCCTTTCGCTTCGATTCCCTGACCCTTGGCCCAGTCACCGATGAGCTCCCGCTCGAACTCAGGTGCTTCCGCTTCCGCTTCTTCTTTTCCTTTTCTCTATCTTCTCGCCTTCCTCGCTTGCTCTTCTCACTGGGAGAGACACTGCTGCTCTCCCTTTTCTTCTTCTTGTCACTCCTCACCGGCTTGTCAGGTGCAGCCTCCTCAGCCTCTGCCTCCGGGTCTGGCCCGTTCTTCGATGGCTCAGCCTTGGACTTGCTGGCCAACCGCAATGGCTTTGCAGGCTCTCCTGACTTCCTCTCTGGGTCTCTCTTGGTGGGCTTTGGTGCTGGCACTTGGGAGTTCTCAACCAATGCAACACTCCCTTTTGCCTTGGCGGGTGTGAGTATAGGGGGTGCCTTTGGAGGGGTAGGACCCGGCTGGGAACTGAAGGGACCCCTCGGCTGGATGATGATGGTCGGCTGGTCTCACTCGGCTTGGGCTTTGAGTCTGGGGCTGATGGGCAGTTTTCGATGCGGGCTGTCTCCTCTGATGGCTTGGATCGTGCAGGTGGGCTATCAACAATCTTCCTTTTCAACGGGGCTTCTGCTGCAGCGCTGGGGGCCACTGACGTAGATCTGGGAGCAACACCTTCGCTCCCCTTGCCACGCTCAATGTCCTGCGCCTCTTTCAAGGTCTCCTCAAGCCACCCAAATGCTTGGTCCAAGAATTTGAGCGCGTGCCCCTCTGCAGCTTTCAGAAACAGCTGAACAACAGTGTTGCCCAACTGATACGTCCGCCTGCAGATCAAGCACAAGGATGTATGGCTCTCACGGACCTCGAACTTCTCACACCTATTACAAGTCCTGCTGGGAGGTCCACCGTCGGTACCTCCCATCAAAACCCTTTCGAGCCCCGATGCTACGGAGGAAATAAACCTGTCCTGAGTTTATTTATGGGGACATTGCACCAAACTCAGTCACAGGCTCTTTTCCTCGCGTTGCAGCAAGCTTGTCAGATTTTGGCTCAAGGAGGGCTCGAGATCGACTAGCTTTGTCTAGATAGCTCGGCTGCCCCAGAGCTTTTCAAGCTCGCTTTTTCCCGCGTTTCGAGCCATTTGTGCGTTCGCGGATCCGTGCCGTGGCTAAGTCTTCGCCTTCCTGGCACAGACGCCTGCGAGCCAGGCGTTCTGCTGCGCGTGCCTTCATCCATAGGCACCAACGCAAGAGGGTCTTGAACCTTCGGATCAAGACCAAGCTTCTCAGGCTTAGCACCTTGCTGCTTTCTCACCACTCCCAGCCACGTTATCGCTTCGATTTCTCGGCAGAGAACCACGGCATGACATGGAAGTCTCAGAAGGAGTGGAACCCACGTGCTCAGGAATGGCGACAGTCATGGCCAAGAGACACCAAGGGCGAGAAGGAGAAAGCCAAGAAGCAAAAAGACCAAGGCAGCGAGAGAGGCCACTTCTTCTTCGCTCACGATGGCCGAAAGGTGCAAGTCCCACATGGGCCAGGCACATCATCTGCTACCTCCTCGTCATCATCTACGCAGGCTATGATCGAAGAGAACAAGAAGCTCCGAGATGCACTGCGCAATTTGGTGGACAAGGACCCCAAAGATGGGGATCCGTCAGTTGTCGAGGAGTGCAAGAAGCTGGTGCACGACCCACGGGAGGACCTGCGGGTGAGACAGAGAGAACTCAACAAGGAGAAAAAGGCCATTACAAAGCGACAGAAGATCGAGCAGACCATCAAAGAGAAGCAGGACAGTTTCCAGGCATGGAGGGCTGGCTTCATGGAAGGTCTCAAGGGCGAGGATGCGCGACATCTAGAAGAGGTCGAAGCTTTGAGAAAGGAGCTCAAAGAGACCACAGAGGACGAGGAAAAGATGGACGAAGAAGAAGAGACGGACAGGGACAAGGGCCTTGTCTTCCAGGAGCTAGCGGAAGTCAAGCATCGTATGAGCTACATGGCGAGCTATGTGGAGGCGATGGAGAGAAAGAACCAGCAGCTGGTCTCCGAAACGAGCAGCCAAGTGCAGTCTCTAGTCAGTGCAATGCGCACGACACATCAGCAGGAGCTTTACAACAAAGAGTCTCCGCAGATTGTCAAGCCACCAAGCAGAGTCGCCTTGGCTGTTGGCGGAGGCGAGACGACTGGGAGGTCGGATCGGTCAAGATCTCCTTGCAAGAAGACCGACAAAGAAGTCGAGGAGGAGAATGCATTGATGGAAAAGGAAGAGCTTTTCCAGCGCATCCTGAAGGATGTCCCAATGGAGATCTATGTGGAAGTGAGGGCCAT